AATCAACCCTCTTTAATCAAACCACGTACTTTTTAAACATAAGATCTCAGAGTCTGCTGACAGTTTCTAACAAGATGAAATCACAGCAGTCGAACAGTATGAAAAGGTTTGTTTCAATTAAAACTCAAAAGCATGCAGGATACATACCTGTGTTCCACAGCAGCAACTATAAAGCCTTGCGAAGCCATCTCAATGCAAACAGCAGAATAGATGGTCCTGCAATCAAAACCACTCTCTGTTTATTCACATGCAACGTAATTATTTTTACACGGCTCCTTAAACACTAAGCCACATATGTGCTAGCTGTATTTCAGTAACCAGTAAACTAAAACCTCTACTTCCATTTACTAGCACTGACTGCAGGGGAGGAATTCTGATAGTGAGCAGCCTGCTCTCAACAGATTCAGTTTCAACTATATGGGGATCCAACCCCCTTTGCTGAAAATCTGTTCAGTACCATTCTTAGAAGCTGTTATCTTCATAACAAAACCATTTTGTCAACAAACTGCAGAGTTACCGAAAAGCTCCAAGTCCATGGGAAAAAACAAGCAGTGGGTATTTTTCTCCAGATTTGAAAGCAGCATTTGATTTTGCAGGACAGGTCACTGAACCTAGATTAAAAAAAAAACAGCAAAAAAAAAACAAAAAAAAAGCACATCATTATTATCTACATGAGAAAAAAGGCATTGTTTCTTTGGGAGAGATGCCAAGAGTTTCTCTTACACACCAGTGACCACTGAGCTCAGAGAAGTCATCTGAGGAATAAGTTATCAAACCTTAAAATGCAAAAGGCATATGGGGATCTTATTCTATAAATATTTTTTACTTTGCAGAAGATACTTCCCTTCTTCTCCTCATCCAGTCCTAGCACAAGGCTTATACAGCTTTCAAGCCCCAAGAAAACAGATTTTCAGGGATTTTAGACAATCAAGTCTGTAAGTTTGTTGACATTCAGAGTTTAAAATCTACCTGACCTCTGTACATTTGCAAATCTCTCTGTGGGATTTAAATCCCACCACAGTGTATCCTGCCCTCACCCACACTCCGACTACAGCACATCTCCCACACCCCAATATTTAGAGCAGTCAGGGGCTACGAGTCTGCCTGAGGAGCTGAGTCATGTTCAGTATTGGGCCTTGCCACACACACCCTTCCCAAACACACAGAGTTATTCAGGAGAAACTACCTTGTAGTCCTGCAGCAATAACACACAGCTCACACAGCAATGAGGGCACTAACCTGCCCACACCTCACAGCCTCTGGCTAGTCAATAAAATCATAACCAGGCATACCAACATAGTACTGGAAAAGCCTTTCTCCCACAATTCGGTACATATTGAGGAAGTCGGAAAGTCCATGATAATATTCTTTATCTGGAATCCATGGTGCCTCTTCATTTTCTGTGGCATCACACGATGGATAATACAGGCGCAAGAAACTTCCCTGGGATTAAAAACATTTTTAAAAAAATATACTGCAGAGAAAAAGGAAGACAAAACATCTATGATGAAGCTCCCATTGCTTTCTTTGCATAAGGGGGGTCATGGAGGAGCGTGGGCTCTCCTGAAGCCCTTACTGAGTGAATTCAGCATGCTAAACAGGAGAAAAAAAAAAAAACACTTCTGTAACTCCCTAGAGTTTAGTTTGCCACCAGGTTAGCACGACAGATTTTACTAGGAGATGAGTTTCTGGAAGTGTGGTCTGGTACACAAGATGTGGGCAGTCAGAGGCGTGTTCTCAACTCCCATGGACATGGCATAAGTTCATGGTCAGAGTGTTCCTCTCTAAACTAAGCAAAAGGATTTTTCTCTTCTCAGTAAAGCACTTTGACAGTTGTCCAGTGAAGCAACAAAATCCACTCTTTTCCCTCCAGCCCCTTCTTGTCAAGAGGCTTACAGGTCTGTAGTGATCCATCCCTCTAAATACCGTTTTACTACCAGTGGTTTACCTGTCTCCATTTCCTATTACAGATTTCCATCTCCTCTTTCTGTCCATATTCCAAGTTGTCTTGTAGGCCAAGCAACCTTTCCACAGTCAGGTGGACTCTCCATTCTCCCTTGCCAATATTTTTTCTGCACGGATCACAACAATGTACCAATGTGCAGAGCATGAAGGAGATCTCCCAGCACATCATGTGCATGTAATTTGCATTCTTACTTCCTGGTTCGCAAGGGCATTTGAAACACACTATTATAATTCACTTTCCGGCTCTGTTTTTTGGTTGGTTGGTTTGGTTTGGGGTTTTTTGTTTTTTTTTGTTTTGTTTTCTGTTTAAGAAAAATAATTCTAAAACTGCAGACAAGGCAAGAAAGTCAAAAAGAGCAACGCTTAAACTTGGGAATAAAGTCAGGTTCCTCGAATACTAGTCTAATATACAAGCTTGTTTAATGAACTTTGTTGCCATTAACAAACTTACATTAATGCTTGACACAAAGGCCTTTAAGGAAGAAAGCATAACCTTTATCCACACTGGTAATTACATTACCTTGATCCCAGAATAGTTTCTGTGGATTTCTCTAGATAACTAGCTGTTTACAGAAAGGAAAATACATTCATCACACATCCCTTACAGAACAATAATCACATGGATTCCTTATCTAATGAAGACCCATGGCCTGATTTCAGAGAGAGACTAAACATTTACTTGTGCTCATACGAAGTAAGCACAGCAGGCAGATAAAAACATATGATTAACTACTGCAAACCATGACAAATTCCACTATACTTAGCTGGCCTGAAGAGTGAAACGACAGTGCAAATGCACCAGTGCTATCATAGGAAAATGAAGAAGCAAGAGAATTTGAGATGGAAACGGCTCGGTGTGGCTCGGTAGCTACCTATTACATTTCCCCCCATCTTCGTCTGGTGGTGCCTCCCCATGATGGCACTAACGAGTAGCAGAATTAACATCCTGGTCTTTACAGATAGCAACAATTTCCCTAAGGCACCTTACATTTTACCCTGCAGTTGAAACATTACATATTTCCTTTACTCAACCCTGACAAGTCCTGATAGGAACATGGTGATGAGAACAGCTACAACCATGGAAACTGGGTGCAGGGACTTCCTGGGAGCCAAATAAGGCAGGAAGCTCTGCAGTAAATGTGAGGAACCCCCTGGGTCCCAAGAGGGCATGGTTTCTCTGTAGTATCTTGCCTAGGGAAAGCAGTAGGCAGGGATATTAGGGGAGGAAGGAAGGAACTTTCATGCTACATCTACGTGTGTAAATTTAGCCAATCCAGGGAATGCTCTTGGGCATCAGAATTGGATAAATGGAACTGTTAAGGAGTCAGAGTGGTTCATGGCCTGTCTCTGCCACGGGTCGGGTCCTGGAGACAGGTTGTTTCCTGGACTGTGTCCCGAGCACATCCTGCTTTGGGACGGAGCGCAGAGAGCCTGCTCAGCTGCGTGGGCACATATCACACACTGCAAACAAACCAGGCCTCCTGCTTAATTCATCTGTAAAACTACAGACATTTCTCAGTCCAATGCTATAGCTTAAATCAAAGGGAGGAAGAACTGTCTGCTTTACCTCAGCTGCGTTTTCCGTCATCAGGTCTGTACATCCGACCGAGTGCGGTCCTTTTCCTTCAGGGATCCTATAAAACTTCTCGGTGTTGTTGCTCCCCATTTCTTTTGGCACCTTAACTGACATACCTGGGGAAAGACACAAATTGAGAGGCTTCAGTGGCCTTTCCGACATTTGCGATCAAATCAGCTGCACTGAAAAATAATGCAGTGCCCTAAAGGTCCGGAATAGGAAAGTCAGAGGTTTATGGGAAACAGATCTGGAAGCGTGAGTCATCCAGTCTGACTTGTTTTTTGAAAGAATTTCCTTAGTCCTGAGGATCAGGCAGCACTCTGCCCTTGAAAAGGCACCAAACCCAAAGGCTTTTGGCCTCTCTATCCCGGAAAAAAACAACACAAAACAAACTCAAGCCATTACACGCAACCCACTTCAATCCTCTCAAGAGCTTCATTTTGAGGTTTTTTTCAGTCCCAAAGGATCCTCCAGCATTAGCAAGGCCTGTCCTGCCACAACACGACGGTGCAAGGAGCGATGTTTTCTGATCCTTTAGGCGCGCATGGACCCCGGCTATCACAGGATTGTGTCGGCAAGGAGGAAACGTTTTCCCGAGGATGGAGCGGTGGCACCGGGGAGATTGTGTCGCCATGGTGCTCGCGTCTCCCACGCAAACAGGGAAGCAGGAGCCCGAGGCTGCAGCTTTTCCTTCCCTCCCGGCCAGGCCAAAGCTGCTCCTCACATGAACGGCACGGGGAAGGTTTTCGCAACTCTTTGGTAAACAAACCCGGTATAAGCAGCTGGTGCAGAAGAATCTCGTACAGAAAATTAAAAAATATATATATCTTAATTCTGCAGCCGTTTTTTTCCAAAGAGGCACAAGGAAACGCAGACTCGGATGCCGGGGAAGAGAAGGAGCAGCAGGAGAGCGAAAGCAGAGCGTGAGGGATGGGGGCCCCATCCAGGGCTTGATCCTAAAAACCCGCTGTGGGTTTTTAGTGCCAGATCCCCCCGTGAGCGCCCAGCTCGGGGCACTGCTGCGTCCCCCACCAACCCCCAGGACCTTGTCCAGGGGGCCAGCAGGGTCCCTTGGCTGCAGCCCGACC